ATTTACTACTCTGACAAAGTGAAGGGTCACTTCATCATCTCCAGAGACGATGCCAAAAGCCAGATATATCTGCAAATGAACAGCCTCAAAGCTGAAGACACAGCAGTCTATTACTGTGCAAGAGACACAGTGAGAGGAAGTGAATCTGGAGCTTGGCAAAAACCTGCCATTCATCAGAGCAGCCCTGCAAGTCCATTCAGCCCAAGAAGGCTGCCTTTTTCAATGAGGGGAGGCTGAGGAAGCTGCCTAATTGTCAGGAGGAAGACAGAGCTGATCTTGGTATCTGCAGTGTCTGAGCGATTTTCCAATTGAAAGGGAAAAAAACAGGAAACCTCACCAAAGAAAATAAACTGAGTAATTAAACAGGGAGAAAAAAGCCTCCTGAAAGACAGCAACGAAAAAGTGCTCACAAGTTCTGCTCTCCAAAAAATCTTTAGAAATACAAAATTGTCTTCCTTAATTAGAGCTCTTTATTCTTTTATTGGATTTGTAGTTCAATCCTTATTTTTTTTTCTTTTTTGACATTCAGATCTTCCTCCTTCTGTCTTTGTGTGCGTGCATCTCATTTTTTGTGTCTATATATTCTCTCTCTCTCTTGCTCTCTTGTTTTACCTCCCTCCCTCTCTCCCTCCTTCCTTCCCTACACACACACACACACACACACAAACCTGAAATGTTAAGTATGTTGAATATCATATTCACCCTCTAGCAGTAGATATATAGCCATGTAATAAAATAAGGATGTTCTAAGAATCACATTCTTTTGTTGTGGTATAACTTCAAGGAAGCAAGCCAAAGTCAAAAAGCAAGACTTAAAATCTTCAGGCAAATGGCAGCATAAAAGAGGTTATTTTGTAACTGGTGTAAAAATAAAGGAATGTTGATTGGACATCTCAGGTCAATCCTGTAGAAAGTCATATTCTCCACCCCCAAAATAATGACCCAAATAGCTTTAATTCTTCTGAACTATCTCAATAGCAGCATTGGGGCCATCTCTGCCTTTCTCACATGACCCATTTCAGTTTTCTGGAATTCAGTAACCTTTTCCAACTTCCCTTCCCCTTTAAGAGCATCTACATCTCCTGGGAGAATGAAGTCCTCTATCTCACCTTCACTGGTCTTACATTAGGGGCCACTGGTGGTCTGCATAATCCCACTGAATAGGGATCCAGTAGAAAGTGTTTTCAGATGGGATGACCTTTCTGAGATTGATAGTTTCCATTGTTGTCAGTTGAAAAGGAAGTGAAATTAAAGCTCCCTTTACAAAACAACACAAAGTTCACACCATTCTTTCCTACTTCATGCTAAGTGAATTGACTTGAAGATATAATAGGATTCCTTCACCTTTCTCAGCTCTACAGAAGGATAAGATAAGGGTAACATGGTTTTCTTCACTCAGAAACTATAGGTGGAAAATTGATTCTTCACCTAGCATTATGTTGTTATCTAATCGATTCTACTTTCTTGAAGAAACAATGGATAAGAAAACATGTCCACACTGGAATACACATCCAGTCTATTGTTGTATTTCATTTATTGCTCTGACTCTTATGAGAATTTTATATAACATCAGAGTAGTTTAAAAAAAGCTGGATTAAAGGGTGGAGACAGAGTCCTTTTTTATAAAACAACAACAAAACAAACAAAAAACAAACAAACAAAACCAAGTAAAATAAGTGACAAATTTATCCTTCCTCTCCTCTGTTCTCCTCTGTTCTCTCTTCTCCTCTCCTCTCCCTCCCTTTTAAAATCACAGATATAAAATCTGTAGAAAAAAAAAAAACTAAAAGAGAGTATGGGTAAATGGAAGGGATGTTTCACCATCTCTGAAAACAAATTATATTAGCAAATGAACAACTTGAAATCAGAGCATAAATTTATAACTTAATGTTATTTGAAAATCACAGAGGTAAAGTCTACCCAAAGAACTCTATAAGTGAGTGCTCAGAGGGGCTTTTTATCCCAAGCAATATGTAAATTGAGGCACAATTTGCTCTTTAAAGCTCATGGTTCCCCTTCTCAAGCAACACCCACCAACACAAAGTTTGTGCATTTCATTTTCCAGAATCCTTTCCTATCAATTGCCCTCCATTCATTAGAAGGAGCAACAATGTTCCTGTGGCTAAATTTGGTGTCCTTTCTAGCAATGCTCAGAGGTAATTCTTTCTTAACTATTCAAATTCCTTTCTTTTTAATTCTTGTGTACAGGAGAGCTCACTGAAACTTCTTTCATTTTAGGTGTCCGATCTGAGGTCCTGTTGGTGGAGTCTGGAGGGGATGTGAGAAGCCCTGGAGGGTCCCTCCATCTCACCTGCCAAGCCTCTGGATTCACCTTCAGCAGCTATTACATGGGCTGGATGAGACAGGCTCTAGGGAAAGGCCTGGAATGGGTGGCCTATATAGGTACAGCCTCAACTCCCATTTACTACTCTGACAAAGTGAAGGGCCGCTTCACCATCTCCAGAGATGATGCCAAAAGCCAGATATATCTGCAAATGAACAGCCTCAAAGCTGAAGATACAGCAGTCTATTACTGTGCGAGAGACACAGTGAGAGGAAGTGAATTTGGAGCTTGGCAAAAACCTGCCATTTATCAGAGCAGCCCTGCAAGTTCATTCAGCCCCAGAAGGCTGCATTTTTCAATTTGGGGAAACTGAGGAAGTGCCTGATTGTCAGTAGGAAGAAAGAGATGATCTTGATACCTTTACTTTGGAAGCTATTTTCCAGTTGGAGGGGAGGAAACCAAATAAATCTCAATAAAGGAAATAAACTGAGTAATTAAACAGGATAAAAATCTCCTGAAACACAGCAATGGCAAAGTGCTCACAAGTTCTGCTCTCAGAAAATATTTAGAAAAATAAAAATGTCTTCCTTAATTAGAACTCTTTATTATTTTATTGGATTTGTTTCGGTGTCAGTTTGCCTGTTTACAAAGTGATCTGGGTTCAGGAAAAAAAAACAACAACCTTGAATTAAATGTAGCCCTTTAGTATCATGACAGAAGGCAGGAAATGAAACTTTATGATCATCTTTTTAAATATCTAAACTGCCATACAACTATTGAGGAAACATCTCGATCTAAAGAATCTCCTTGGAGAATTAGGAAGATGCCTCCCCTCCTCACTTTTGACACTGGGGAGCAATGTTGTCACATGAAACCTCACGGCCTCT